GAGTAAAGCGGTGGTGGGTAGCCTGTCATTCTTCTAAACTACCTGCAAACCCTGATGGACAAGTGAATCTCGACCACATGGAAGAAAATAAGAGGGACATTGCAGCGATACTCGTCTGACTCATCCCTAGTGACAAAACTCAGATAGTACTCGAGCTCCGGAGCATCCCAAGGACACCAATGCACCTGAACATTTCGTAATTGAGTTAGGTTATGATATAATGTACATCAAATAAGACACATGTATGATAGTAAAGAGAGCGTAACCTGGTGCTGTGTCAGGACGTCGAGACCGTCCGTGTACTCCCTGTACTTGCGCCGCACATTCCCTGTAACTAACTCTGCTTGCGTCTAGATATATAGAGCTGTAGGGAGTGTATCCTGCCCGTTCCAACGCTGCATTGAACACAATAATGAATTAGCCATTAATAATTTAATCATATGTAACTGCCTTGAAAAATATAGTGAACCGAAGTACTTACCAGTATATCAGTAGCACAGGGCCTCCCAACGGGCCATCGTTCCCAACACCAAACCTGTAGTAGGTACGAGCAACCCCCAAGGTTCGCATACCCTAAGGTGCGACGGCAGGCACCGCACAGCTGTCGATACGTCCATGCCAGGACTGCGCTGCTCCAGCTGTACGCTGCTATGTTATCCCACGGTTGGTGTAATATATCAAGGAAGATCCAGCTGATGGTGTTGCCCGAGGCATCTGGGAAGAGGAAAGCACCAAGGAAGTGCTAGAGCCACCAGCTCCCTCCAATCATTGTTGTCAACTATACCTGTCACTGGAAGTCCCCCCAACCGAAGGCCAAAGATAGCCTCCACGTCCTGCATGGTCAAGATCATCTCACCGCAAGGTAGGTGGAACGTGTGGGTCTTAGGGCTCCACCTGTTATAAGAATAGAACGACTGTTAGTTACCTCAAATTTGTTATAAGAATGTTTACGTACAATGAAGGCACTCGCACCTGTCTACAGCTATAGTAAGTAGTGCTGGGTCAAGGGACGGAAAATCGTAGTTGACAACACAGACAAGCTCGAGGAAGTCGACACGCCGTATGTACGACGCGTAACGCTCGTCCTACTGGTGCGGCCTGGTGCGCGTGCAGGGCCTCAAAGGAGGCAAGGGCACCTCTGCGTTGGTGTCACTCAACAAGTGTGCTCGGTGCGGCGCGTCGTACTCCATCTCAAGAAGGGGGTAGAATGGGTGCTACGTGAGAGGGGCTATCCTGTTATAAATTGATAAACAAAGGGTTAGAGTATTCAAATTAACATTATGTAGCATTGTAAAATAATAGGAGCACAATATGAAAGCACATGTATATATTCAAAGTAACATTAACAGACATATTAAACAACTTTACTTAGAAAATAAGCAACTTCTATGTATTCAAACGGACACAAACGCCATTGAAGCTAAGAGATTCATCAATCCATTCCAAATCGCCGTATCACGCACTACTAAGTACCGACACTTGAAAACTAGTATCTATACTGACAACCTTTACTACTATAAACTAACTAAATAATAAATACCTAATCAATCCCTAAACCCAAAGGCCTAACTAACAGTAACCTAAACCCTAACTACCTAACCAAACCTTAACTATACTACAACACACAATGTAAACCCTAAAAACTGCCTACCTAAATAAACAAATTCACTAACCTAACTATACTAAATCACTAACCCTAACTATCCTAAATCACTAACCCTAACTAAAATAACATTCATAATAACAAGAAATCGATAGAGAGAGCACCTTGATATGAGCCGAAGGAGAGGAGGCGGTGCTGGCGCAGGCGAGGAGGCGTGGGGTTGGCAGGCGGCGGTGGCGCTGGGCTGGCAGGCGGTGGCGCTGGTAGGGGCTGGGCGAGCGAGGGCGTAGGCAGGGGTTGGGCGGGCGGGGGCGTAGGCGAGGCGAGGCGGCGCTGGGCGGGCGGCGGCGTTCGAGGGTGAGGGTGAGGGCGGGCGAAGTGGGGCATCGCGGGCTTTTAATTGGGCCTTGCCGCGCCACTAGCGATGGCGCGTCACAACCGCGCCAAGATGGATGGCGCGGCAGACCCTGCCACGACGACGCCACATCATTCTCCCGCCGCGCCACCATGCATGGCGCGGCATAGGCATTTCGCCGTGTGCATGGCAATAGGCGCGGCCAAAAGTATTAGTTTTGAAAAAAAACAGTGTTAGATTTAAAATTAGTTTACAAAAAGTGTTAAAAATAAAAAAAATCACGCTGGTCAACGCCGCTGCGTCCCTGCCGGTGTTCCCAGCTGCGGTCTTCGACGTGCCCGTGCTGGGGAGGCTGGTGCCGGGGCTGTTCCGCGGCCTGGTGTGGCTGTGCTGCGCCCGGAGGGTTGCTGCGGGTTGCCGTGCGCGGCAGCCATGGCGGCGGCTACCGGCAGGAATGGTGAACTCGGCCATATCTAAAGCTGCGAGCGCGGGGTGGAGTGGGAGGCGGGCTCGGTGGCGACCTCGGCTTGGCCTACAAGCATGTGAGTGGTGGGACGGTGGCTGCAGCGCTGCTCCGCGTCTGAGTCAATGGCGCTCGGCATTAGCATCGTCTCTGCAGGCCGCTGCCCTCAAAATCGCAAGCACCAGCTGGTGCGCGTGGCTCCCAGGGTGGGCACTCAGCCATCCTTTGTCGCCGGCATAGCCTCCACTCGCCGGAAATCGGTCGTGCTAGGCCCGTGGTGCGGACGGGAGCTTCTGGAGTCAGGATAAGGGCTTCGTTGTTTTTTTCTTTTCTCTTGACAAGTTGATTTTTTATTTTATTGGCCCCACGCTGTCCTGTACTATCGTCTCCGATGCCTCTCTCCTCTGCACTCACGTGCGATCAGGCAAGGGTATTTTGAACTTCTCCCATCCCAGTTAGACAGCGTTGGAGCTCAAAGTAAAACAGAATGGCGTGGAAGGCAAGAAAGTTTAGCGTCATAGCACCTGGGTACGTTCGAACTTTTTAGTGACATATAGATCTGAACCATCTTTTATAATGGCACACAGGGAAAAGACTCTTAGTACTACACCTCATGTCGTTTGCTAGAAAAATAATTTGAAAATTCCCCATTATGCCATTTGGTGCTTCAGATTATACCATATAAGCCATTTTTATTGCAATGGCCACCCTACACAACATTGTTGCAATAATACAGAATAGTTAGCGTTATCCATTTGCTTATTATTGAAGCAGCTAGGCAGCATCTTATGCACGGACTTTGCTATCCCTTTATAGCCGCCGGGTTTGTCGTCTCGAAACGGAGACTCTAATCAAGAGCTATCGTACGAGAGTCCATTTCATCACCGAATTTTTTTTCAATTTTATTTCATTACTATTAGAGTGTTTGTTTCGGTCTTCAATTTTTTTTGGCTCAACTTCAGCCATAATCTATCAAAGTGGATGTTCCCGTTTTTAAATTTCCAACATCTTAGTTTGTTTAAAAAATAATCTACAAAATCACCGTAAATGATTTCAAATGAAAAAAGTCATTAACTAAAGTTATATATCTCATTGGAGATCTACAACTTTGGTTTTGATTATTTCTCCATCCGAGTTCATTTGAATAATTCAAAAATTTTGAATTTCAAAATATAACAACTTGAAACATATAGATTATATTTTTAAATAAATTTGTATTAATATTCAGAACAAAAAATCCAATATATTAAAACCAATAATGTGTAGATAAGTATTTTAATACATTTAAATATTTGTCAATAATAAATAAATCTAAATATATAATTTTTTATAAATATCTAAAAAACTAAAATACTTGATTAAGTCCATGTTTAGCCCCTGAACTCTTGCTTTTGCCTAGCTTTAGCACCTCAACTATCAAAACCGTTCAATTTTGATCCTCGAGTGGATTTTGAGTGTTTTTCATATAACTGTGGGGACAAAATTAAATGGTTTTAATAGCTGAGGTGTCAAAGTTAGACAGTTTTATAGTTGGGGGTTTAAAATTAGACAAAGGCAAGAGTCGAGGAGCCAAAAATAGACTTAATATTACTTACTAAATAATCTAGAACCATTTCCCAAAAGGAAAAAAACAGAACTACATATACCATTTGTGCTTCGCTAATGAAAATAGGCAAGAAGCACAAAGTTGTCATTTCAGCATGTCACAATACATTTTTCCACAGATTCTTCTGTAAGAACAGTTTTTCTGAGTTCAATGTATTCCTGCAAAATCAAATCTGTACTCCGAAATGTACTTGAGCACACGAAATATCATCTTCAGGATATAAGATAATCATGTTATTTCTGCATAACAAGCACACATTAATATAACAGGTAGCAGCTAGAAAAATATACTGCAATTGCAACTCTGAGAAACTGTACAAAAGCAATCGCTAAACATAAACCTACTACATTATCACAGGGTGGATAGTCATTGCTGTCTGAGAGTTGTTCATGGATCAATTTCACTTGAGTACAATACGAGCAAAATAACTCGTGAGGTACCAGCAGAAGGAAAACCTTTTGTTTCTACTTCAAACTAAACTGCTCCCTAGAGATGATATAGACCTTCATGGTAAGCTTCGTCTCGTTCTTCTTCAGTTCGAACAGACAGATATCACTAACTCGAAGACCATTGTCGTGAGCAAATTTGGAACAACCTCCATTAAGAAACCACCTTCTACCATTATGAATCACCATATGGGTTTCTCATGTCCTCCCCATGTACTGGAGCACCACAGTTTGGCCACTAGCTGGAAGATGTACAGAAGCATATCGTACACCTAATCCTGATGTGTTATAGATAGAAAATTAGCAACACATTGAAATGACAGGTCACGTAACCTTTTTCTTAAACAAGCAAAGTTATATGCCAACATAGAAAAATCAACTTGAGATGACATGAGCCGTCCTCACAATAAAAAAACAATAATTCAATACCAAAAGAAGAATTGTGCTTACTAGCATCCACTTCTGAGCATCACCAACATTGTTGTTCTTCATAACTGCTACACAAATGGGAACTTCAGATTGGATGGTCACACTCGCTCTTCAACAATCTTCTTTTGAGATTTAGATAAAGAGTTCCTGCATGGTACAATGTATGGAGGCTGAGGTGCACCACCAGGGTCTTCAATCTCCAGAGATTCATTAGAAATTTCATGCACATCAGTTTCCAAGGAGACATTTTCGTCTGTAGATAGTTTTAAGCAATAAGTAAGCACTAATCTAAAATGATGCTAATTTCGTGATTTTCTGTAATACCATTGGTTAGTTCATCCATAATATGGACCCCTGAAGCTGTTTTTGCACAAGATCTGCCAGGGCATGGGCAAACCCTTTGAAAACCAGCTCCACCTATGGAATGTGTCGCTGTTGCGCAAAGTAAATAGACCATAAATGTGGATTTTTTCCCACTCTTTGCTGGGAAAAGGAGGCAGATATCTCCTTCCTGCACATGATTGTCACGGACAAAGTCCAACCACTGTCCCATAAGTTTTCTACTGGCCTTTCTCTTTTGAAATTGAGGATGCCACTTCTTGCACTTGCTAGGCATCTGAAGTGTGACGTGTGCTTTCATGTGGGAAATGTGCAAATGCATATTTCTTGGAAATACCCTGATAACAGATGAAACAAGATGTGATGCTGTTAAAGACAACTAAGAATACTAAACAAAATCGTAAGCAAAGAAAAGGTATTTTGTCCACATGTGTTCAGAAGATTCATGCCAACTTGAAGATCATAGCTAATTTTCTCATATAAGTTGGTCACAAGCTGTCAACCAATTTTATGTTGAGAGACGTGAGTTGCCTATTCAGAGTAGTGACTTTACCAGAAAAGGACCTGGGGGTTGAATATTTCTCTTCTGCGTGACTGCTACAAAAATAGTGATTTCAGGTCGAATTTCCTGGATAAATGACACTACTCTCTGTTTCTGTGCTTCAGATAGATAACTTCTATATGATAAAACATAATCAACTCTTGGGGGTGCCTGAGGATCATCAGACTCTAAAGAATCATTTGAAGACGGAATGTCCTCTCCTGTAAAAAAAGAAAAATTCGCATTGAACTGTAATAATAAAGAGATGGTGGAGTTCGAGGAAAATATGTAGGTCACAAGCATAACATGTTTGTATTCTTGTGTTCCTTATTTGACTTTCTTACATCTGATCCACCTAAGCTAAGTGCTAAGGCTGCCCATAAATAAATTAATATAATTGCCACCATTCATGACAATTGACAATGCCAAATAAAAAACTCTATCACACCTTCTACCAAGCCCATGTCCAGCCATCATCTGGCTATGACATATGCTCCCATCCTACCCATGATGTGCAAATCAAAGGCTGAAAGGCATAAGCGGGCCATATAAGGTCACAATCCTTCCTAGGTTACAAGCAGTCGACAGCAGCATTTACAGACAATAAATCTTGCTGCACAATACCACAAAACAAAAAACTTATTGCGCAATGGGGGCAATCTTTAAATTTCAAAGGGCGTAACGTGAATTCCAATCCTGACTGGGCACCAGAGCACTAAAACCAAGCCAACGGTACACCAGGTAATGCGAATCAAAACAGTAATGCTATGATCTTGTTGCCCAACGGGAGCATCCAATTGCAGATCAAGCCCTTTGTTTTTCTGTGGGGGACGCATTGCATTGCCACTGCCAACCAAACTCACCCCGGCCACATCTGTTCCGCCGCCAAGAACCGAAAAAGGAACAGGAAAACACAGCATGACAGAGAGTGGAGAAATCGAGTATACATACCATGCTCAAATCGGCCCTAATCCCGGAATCTCCCTCCAAGAAGCCAGGGGGGGGCATTTGCAAGGGCTTAGCGTAAGGGTCTAAGGGAGGCGGCGCCAAGGCGGGTCCGCGGGTGGCAAGGAAGGGCTCAAGGAGACGAGCTGCGGTGCGCCGTTGGGTCCAGCAAGCTTGTCTGTTGTCTCCACGTCGGAAAAGATCAAACTACCAGAACAAAAAAAAAAAATATATATTCCCTGATGGGAAGCACAAAAACTGCTTTGTAGTCTTGTACCGGTGCTAGTATATACGCTCACATAATAATATTTATGGTACTGGTACAAGACATTTTCGTAATATTTATGGTACTCCTAAAGATACGCTTAGGATTACCATAAATATTATTATAAAAATTGATTCAATGATCTATCTAATTAATATTAATTTTATACCATAAATATTATTACTTTTTATATATATTTAGTCAAAGTTATTTATCGGAAAACGAAAACGACAATTATTTAGGGATGGATGGAGTAGGGGTCATGTCAGGATCACAGAAGTACTCCCTCTGTCGCAAATAGAAGTCGTTATGAGATCGTGCAGGTCAAACTTTCTCAACTTTGATTAGATTTTAGAAAATACGTGCAACATTTATATTTCTAAACAAGTTTATTATGAAAGTATATTTAACGATCTACCTAATGATACTAATTATGTATTATAAATATTAATATTTTTATATATATTTGGTCAAAGTTAAAAGTGATTGACTTTTTAGAAAGTGAGAATGATGTCTATTTTGGGATGGATGAAGTACCAATTTGGTTGTGAGCTACTGTGACACTGTGAGTTCATCTCTGACCACCAAAGGAGCACAAAAGCCATTTTGTTGCAAATGCAACAAACATAGGTGCTGTTCCTGGTGTCACCAATGTCGAGCCGCACACCAACTCTTTGACGCTGGGCACTGAAATGGACACCGACATCAACCTCGCGACAGTGCTTGTGGAGGCTGCATCTATCCAAGGATCTCAACTTTGAGAAGTTGTATGAGGAGGCTACTACTACTACCTTCGTTTCAAATTGTAAGACGTTTTGGCTTTTCTAAATATATTGTATTTAGTATATATCTAGATATAGTGTATATCTATGTGCATAGTAAAAGCCTCTAGAAAAGCTGAGCGGTGGCATCACTGACCATTTGCAATCTAGTTGTACCGGTCAGCAACCTCACTATTACCACAGCATCAGCCAGCAATCTACTAGTGAAAACACGTTACTACCCCAAATTATCCTAACTAATTTGCAATCTAGTTGTGAAAAAAAAAACTTGAGTCACTAATGAAAACAGGCTACCCTAATTTTTTTTTTTGTCTCAGTGTACCGTGCACTCATATAAATTTGTACAGCAAGGAAAACGCTTGCAGTTGCCTACTAATGGAACACAAACAGTACTGCATTAATTTTCCTTTTTTACCATAAGAATTGACTAGCAAAAGATGCTGCATCGCATAAAATTTACTAGAACCAGTCTGGATGGATACTGATAACGTGCATCAAATTAAAGAGTTGCACAGATAATTCGATGACAACCATCGATTATTTCAATGTACTACAAAATAACAAAAATAAACCACAAGAGTGCTAGCACAAAGAAAAGGTTACCATTTCCTCCTATACTATACTACAAACTAAATCTCCTTCCTGGGAATGATATGGACCATCATGGTAAGCTCCCTCTCGTTCCTCTTCAGTTCAAACAGACAGATATCACCGAAACCTAGATCATTGTCACGAACAAATTTGTGCCAACCTCCACAAAGATAATGCCTTTGACGAGTTGTCACTATATTGGCCTTCCATATATTTCTCCTGCACCAGAGCACCACAGTTTGCCCTCCAGCTGGGAGATTCACAGCAGTAGCATATCGCGAACCTAATTCCTGATATGTTACAGATACAAAGTTAGAAAAGCAAACCTAATTCCTGATGTGTCACAGATAGAAAGTTAGAAAAACAATGAAAGCGAGGCAGACATTTTAAATGAACTAATTCTAAGTTTATATTATTGGCCTTTATATACTCAGTCTTTTACAGGGAGGAATAAGATATTACTCTGATGCTGTAACAAAAAGTTTGTTTCATATGAAAGCAGGTGCATATATAGTTTGGCATTCATACAACAGCAATCATGTCAACATCAATAAACTAGCTTAAGGTGACAGTAACCAAATCCATAAGAATGAATAATAATAACTGAATGAGTTTAGAAGAGAAATGAACTTACTAGTATAGGTTTATAAGAGATCCCAAGGCTGACCCGCCTCATGATTGCTACATAAATGGGAACTTCGGATTTGATGGCCTGCACTCTTTCTTCAACAATCTTCTTTTGGGATTTAGATAGACCGCTATTGGATGGTAAAAAGTAGAGAGGATGACATGGCCTACGAGAATCTTTGCTCTCCAGAGATTCATGCAAAATTCCATTCATGTCTCTTTCGGATGAAACATGCTCTCCTGCAGAGAGTTTTATAGGCTATAAGAAGGGGATAATCCAAAATGCAATTGATTTTCTAAAAGTTTGCAATAATACCATCCGTTGGCTCCTTAGTATGGACTTCTGAAGCCATCTTTGGACTAGATCCACCACCAGGGCATGGGCCAGCCCTTTGAAAACCAGTTTCACTCCTGGAACGAGTAGCTGTTGCGCAAAGTACATAGACTGTAAATGTAAACCTTCTCCCAAGCTTTTCTGGTAAAAAGGCGCAGATATCTCCCTCCTGCACATGATTGTCACGGACAAAGTCTAACCACTGCCCTTGAAGCCTGTACACACCACCTTTTGTTGTGTTGAATTTGGGATGCCACTTCTTGCTCTTGCCTGGTCTCTGAAGTGTGACATTTGCGTTTACATGTGGAAAATATGCAAATGCATATTCCTTTATAATATCCTGATTACAGATGGAACATGATGTGATGTAAACAAACAACCAAGACTACTAAAAAATAATAGTTTCAACAGTGAACAAAAGGGGGGAAAAGTGTCATTTGTTCACATAGTAGAAGGCTCATGAGAATTTGAAGAGGTTTTAATTTAGCTTATACCTATGGCAGCATGTACATCAGCAAAAAGGAAATAATTTTTGGGAGCGGTGTCATGCTATTCAACAGTAGTGAACTTACAACAGAAGGAGCCGGGGGATGAACATGGCTCTTCCGCATGACGGCAATGTAAACAGTAGTTTTAGGTTGAATCTCCTGGATCAGCAAAGTTACTCTCTCCTTTTGTTCTTGAGATAGATAAGTTCGATGTGATACAATATAATCAGCCCCTGGTGCCTGAAGATCATCTGACTCAAAAGATTCATTTTCAGATGGAATGTCTTCTCCTGTGCAAATTGACACAACAGGCAATAGGAATAAGTAACTTTAGAATTTGAGGCAAATATGCAAGTAAAATATAAGTTATAACTGTATAACCTGAGCCACCAGATGACGAGGATGTTACAGTCATCTTCAAAGTTTCCCCATGTCGACTGGAAAGTTTCCCTGACGATCCTATGGTATCAAACTGAGAGCTGCTTGAAATATCAACATAATCTACTCTTGTTTCTCCAACACTTGGGATGCTTTTTATGCAATCACAACGAATGATTTTCTCACAACCATCGGAATCAAAGATCAGAACCTTGAAAACAGAGTTTTCAATGTGCCGGAACAGCAAGAAGTCATTCTCTTCAATATGATGGGCACCAACAAATTCCTCCCACCCATGTCTGAGAACCTTCTTATTATAACATTCCGTAACTTCAACATTATATACGCTGCCATTAGGGGATTCTAACTTGATAGTTTGGGATAACTTTCCTACAAAATGCTTCAGAAATTTGTTTGGCACAATCTGTAGTAACATTGAAAGGAATTGATGTAAATAGAGCAAGTCCTGGCCAGGTAAACCGAAAACAAATAATGTAATCTGAGATATGTTTGTCCGGAACTCCGGATATGCATCAGTAAACAGATATCGTTTTTTTATGGAGCAAACTACATTTATGGTGTCTTTAGAAAAGGGAAATTGAAGCTGAGGCTATTTTAACACGGCATACAAGACTTTCTGTCACTGTTTTAAGCCTTGGACATATCAAATGAAACACTAAAACTAATTTAAGAACTTCTGTGATTTAAATTATGTTTCTCACTATGAGGATCATATGGTCGTAGGGGTGTCACTCTTCCCAGTGTTCAGGAAGTAGCTAGCAGCCTAGCACCCTTCAGTTCTTCCTGGCTACCCCAAATCAAGTTAATCGAAGTACTAAATCCAGTCTCCATTTACCAAATCGACATTTACATTTTGGTATAAAATATTGGGAAATGCAAGTTATGGAAAACAAGATATCAAACTTGAGAAGTATTACCATGATATGTTTAGGACTGGCAGTCATACGCCTGAGGAAGCAGCTCATACTTTGATTCTTCTCATCCGGATGGTCCAAGTACCTTTTGCAATGATCACAAGGTTTCTTCATTCGGG